ACAGTATTTAAAGCAATCAAATTTCTTTTTTTAAAATTTCACAGAAATTAACTATTAGGTAGTGGTGAAGGAAAGCTTGAGGGAAGTGACAGAAATATACAATAACCGGCTGAAAAAAAAGATCCACAAAACCTGAATGAAAAAGCTAGATAAAAACATCAGTCAAACGAGTAGAAGCATTTCTTAGCTTTCAACGACAGCAATCGTTATCAATTTACAGGAAAATACAATTTCTCAGAAATGGTCACCTCCTGTGATCATAGTTAACACACTTTACACTTTGGGTAAAGCAGATGTACACTTATCAGCCACGTAATAGATGATATTGTACATATAAATTTTTCCTTTCGTAAAATTTTTTTATTTTCTTTCGTTTTTGACGATATACTTCTTTTACCTTTTTTAGCTGTAGGATAATTTGTCGTTTCTGGCCATTAGTTGTTGCGTTACTTTGTTTACGGCATCAAATATTCATTTTTACCTCAACTAAATTGGGAACATATTCTTTCCCGATGCCTATTTCTAGGAAAACATTGTTGCACTTCAAGAACCTTTTTTGAAGCGAAAACATTCGGCAAATCATGTGACCGACTCTAAGACTGCTTCATGAACGCAGAAAGATCACGCCACAAGCTTAACAGATCAACTCTGAGTACAATAACGAAACTCAAATAGAGATGACGGCTTCTTTGGAAGCCACCAGATACAATAAAAGCCTATGGCTAACTAAACGTTAGAGATGATTTACCTGCGACAGCCAAAGATATCTGCGGAAAAAGTCAGTTCGGTCTCTTCTGAAGATGAAACGAGCGAGAACAGAGGAGTCGACGTGTAGACAGAGATCCTGAAAATGTTAAAGAGGAGATTACTGGGTATAATTTGAGAGCGGATGGAGACGAGGAAGTGGAGAGTGGTTCAAACATTCAATAACTTGAGACAGTTCTACTTGTATTTCTGAGAAACGGAGGTGCATCAGAAGTATGAATTACATTGCAAAGCGGATTTCTTATATTTCGTAACGTTTGGAACAGATAAGAAATAACTAAGAACTGATACACTGAATAAGACTGCGGCTGTTCATCGAGGTGAATCACAAAAATACATCGTTTGTCTCACGATGCAATAACATGATCCGATGGGCAAGTTGATGTTGCGATCTTCTTCTTGAAGCCACACGGTCGAGTGGTTAGACGTCAACTTAATTTGAATTATCCTTCTTAAAAACTTAAATTTAAAATTTCATTTAAGGATTGCCTTTGATATAACGCAATTGCCGGTTGAATGATAGCAAAGTGTTTCATCTCACTCCTTTTCCGAGAAATCATGGCGGCGTATCCACCTGCACAAAATTATAAAAGGAAACAAAAACATATCCCCCATTGCTCTTATAGTCAAACTGTTTGAGGATTCTTAATTATGACATAGATCTATCATTGCAACAGCTTAGTACATACTTCCCATCACAAGAAGTTGAGTAAATACGTATTTTTTCACTGTGAAATGAAACTGATAGATAAAATTGTCAGATTACCCGGAGCCGAGCTCCTGAAGTGTCTCTCTGCGGCAAAGTTCTTGTACCGGCGATAACCCCGCTTTTCTCCGTCAGTGGTCGCTTGAATATACCTTCTTCATACGACTCTAATCGTGATTACAACTTATATTTAAGAAAATAAAACACTGGCCGACACAAAAACTTCAAACAGATGAAGTCTTGATGCACATCACCCCACGCAGAGTTATGCAAATTTTCCCTAGTAATTTTAATTCTTTGTCTCTGACCCATAGGATTACATATAAACATCACACTTTGACAAGTTTTGAGATCAAAAGTCAGTGTTAGAGAAAATAATTCTTGAGGTGTTGTTCCAAGAACCCTGTCATTGTATAAGTGACGATTCAGAGCCTACGGATAATACCGATCAATTCAAACAAACAAACACCGCTCGAAGAAATGAAGAGACCGGAAGGAAAATTGAAAGCGAAAATAGATTCTCCATATCTGTTACGGCGAAGGAAAGAAAAGTGATAATTCAAAGTTACCTTTCAGAAACAGATTATTTACTATCATTTATTTCACTGTAGTAGGCTGGAAAGTAATACAAATATTCCATTTTCTCTTTTTCCCGGAATTCGTGGCTGATTCAAATACTTGTTGATAAACTAATATCAAACCCCACTTTTCCTCGGTTATTTTTATCCTGTTTGACTTCTGTGGCAGAAATCTTTCACAAAAATTACTTTGTACACTTTGCTATCACTCACATTTTAGTAAACGCTTTTTGTCAGTGGAAAGAAACTGAAAGACAGCTCATATTCAGTACTGGTTCCCTTACCGTGAGCCGAGCGACTTGTCCAGTGGTCACGATGTTCGTGATCCGTGACTAGCAACAGTTTGAGTCGGCAGTCAAGGAGTGCTTCAATTAGAGTCGATGAAAAGGTATTTACTTTAACTATAACTAGGTCACCGACCACCAGACAACAAACAATTCGACAGATGGAGTTCCAACGCTTCGTATAGCTTTACAAAGCCGAATGTGAATTCCGAACTCCAAGTTCTTTTAGGAAATAAATATTTACTTCGTACCCAGTACACACCGGCCTGCATAGCGGAAGTCAACTACGAAATCATGTCACGCTAATCGAGTTGGTTTATGGTGTTAATAAATTTTAGTCTCTGTAGTCTATGCATCTATGCATCTCGATGTTGGCATCCTTCTACCGAGACAATGTCGTGTGTTTTTTGCCAGCTAGGCTATGGAGCACCCATGGACTGGAAGCACCTTACGGATAGTCTTGCAACTGAATGGCTAAACACAACAAATGTAGAAGTCCGAAAGCTTTGCTGACATTTTAACGTTGGAGGTATGCATACTGCTTTCCCTAAAACTCAAATAAGAACACTACTAGTTCTCTGAGACATTTGATTATTGTATTGATGAAATTTGTGTAGTCTCTACATACATCTGGGTGGTATATACCTATATACCTAAAAGGCAAGAAAGGAAACACTGATAACTTGCATCGAAATATGCACTGCAGGTTTGCACTAATCATTTTGCTTTTTCAAAATAATAAGTCGGTTGGGCATTGGGAAACGAATATTTAAAACGGCAATGGCTTATCCTGCATAAACTGGCAGTTTGAAGGTAACTGTCATGAAAGTAACGACCACGGTAGCGCCCAACTTCTAAATTAGGATAATTAATTCCAAACTCTCAAGATTAACATCCAATCAAAGTAACCCACGATCAAACTATTAGACGCCATGGCTTACCAGAAGATTGGGTCGAGTTTAATAAGATGAGGTTTGAAACAGCAAAAAGTTGTATTCTCAAAGTATCGTCGCATTGGTAACACCAATTTCTCCTAATGAAAAGGTCTTTTGAATACTTATACATTCAGTATATTGCATTTACCAAAGCTAATCTTCCGAACTGTTCGTCGACGGTTTAGTTTCATGGAGGAATCTTCAAAAAGGTTTTCCCGGTGCCTCATTGTGTCTGTGGATTGCAATAGCTTTAGGTTGATTGTCCTTTTTGGCTCTGATTCTGTTTAAGATTTCTCATTGAAAAAGAGAAAAGAAACTAGCTAATGGCCAAAGCAAAAAAACATTGCAATGTGCGACATATTGCGTCAGAACATTGCGTATCATGACAACATAAACAATCTGGAATCATTCGGTGTCAGCACTTGGTATTGTCTGTCCTCCAATAGATCATAAGTGAGAACCAATCAGAATGCGTGCATATTTGAGCTTAATATATAATATGTAATAACGCATGATATGAACAGAATTATAACCACAAAGGAGGAGTATGCCAGTTAAATCAACGAATAAATAGATAAATTAAAAATACTTTATGAAACTATTAGTAGGCAATATTTTTCTCGCGGGAAAGCAACATAGATGAGTAAATTGAATAAAATTTTAAAAAACGTAATTCTTATTCGCATTAGTTTGTTGTCTTTTCCCGTGAAAATTGTTATTGGCATTTGTGGGGTAGAGGAACAACCTCGTCACTATACCACTAAGACAACGTACAGAGCCACAAGCCTCGTTTACAGTTACCATGCCAATAGGCATATGATCGAGTAATCGGAGTTTATTTGCGAGGGAGTATAACTTAAGTATTCTTCTGGATTCTTCTTGTTATTTCCACAGGCTACAGCTTAGGTCTAATTTCAAGATGTAGGAGAGCTTTGATAGTTTGATGAATGAGAAAGCATTTCTTCTTATTATTTTCTCTCAAATATAGAGGATGGTGGAATTGTGAGGAATTTGGATTTATCAGTAAAACAAGGACAAAGCACTCCTTAATGTGATTTTGATTGATATATCTGTTTGCAAATGGTAAATTATTACTACTACATGTCGCATCATTTAATAATAATCGCACCTCGGCTTGAGAGCTTTTGTGCCAAACTTGTCGTAAGATAAACGGATATTTGATGAGTTTCTTATAAGAATGTAGTTCAAAAGAGGCTTTCAAAAACGTCTTCTATTAAACTCTGCGTTAACTCGTTTCATGAGTTTAATTTTCCTCTTTTTCTCACCCTCGTATGTTTACCTTCGTTCGCTGGTTTTGACTTAGTGGTTAAAAATCTTGACAACGTTTGCTTTTGGGTGTTGCATGTCAAAATAAAGTTGGGATATTGTCGAATTTTTGTAATTAATAGCCTTTTGAAGGACTATACCTAGTGCTTACTGGTCACTGATAAAGTCGCACGAACAGAACTGACAGCTTGCATATTTAGTAATTTAACATGACATTTCAGTCTTTCATAAATTCAGCACCAACAGAATTAAATTATCATCAGGTTTTGAATAAGCTTTTACCGAAATCTACCACTTCAAGAGCCGTTTGTGACACAGACGCCAAACAGACCGGCAGCCATAGTCTCCTTTCTTAATAGAATTTAAACTTCAAGAGGCAAGATAAATAATACAGAGATTTGGAGGTCCTTCTTAAACGGAATCTAGTAAAGATAAGATTCCTTTTCGATGGAAATGAAATAAGTGCACGTATAAAAGACTAGCAAGTTGAAGAGCTACTCTGGAATTTTAAAGATTCCAAGAGTTCCGAAAATCTTTTTTTCTTTTAATTCCACTTTTTCAAGAATAAAGGTGATGCACGTTTGGACCTTGTAGCAAGACTGCAGATTACCCTCAATGTTAGCTGTTACACGGCTTAATTTAGTAAATAGTCGTATTAGAATGTGTTATTGTTATAGTAGGAACAAAGACGCAATCTACTTCAACAATTTTTTTTTGCAAAACTCTAAAAAGTCCCACTGCTGTTCTCTTCCCTATTAATTCTATATAATTTTCACTGGTTACTGTAATGAAATCCCAAACAAAGTTTCGTATTATTTAGCTTCTAGCCCACGGTCTATTTCTGCGAACGTATTCAAGAAATCTTCTGGAGATAATAGCTACATGATACTACAGTCAAGAGGCTGTACAGCTTGGGCGATGCTTTGCACGGCTTGGGCCACTGGCCTAGCATAAGGTGAACACGTTGGATGAAGAGCTGCTACCTCGCCGACCGCTGGTGCAACATCTCCCATAAACTTGAGAACTTTCTTGAGGATTTCACCCGTTTTGAGATCCCTTTGATCTCTTTCGTTTTCTGCTATCCTTTGGTGTAGACCCCGAGCGATTTGTGCCCTCGAAGTCATGATGTCGGGCAAATCCTCCAGCTTTTTAGCACATTCGTCATCTTTCGTTGTGGCGTTGAAGTCTTCCCCACCGCTTGATTTGATACCACCCACAAGAGCTTCCATCTTCATCAGGAGCGCATTTACTTCTTCTGATTGCCTTCTTTCTAGCCTCTTCAATGACTTTGTTAACTCTTCAGGTGAAAGTGTCTTCATTTGATCAAGCAGCTGCTCTTTCTCACTTTGGTGTACAACGATCATTTCTGAAATGCTCTTCATCACTTTCATTTGTTCCTCGTTTTCATTTTGCAGCTCCAATAGCCACTCACTAAGGGCTTGGTTTTCTTGGATGTAGGTTTCTCTTTGTTGCTGAGCTTCTATCAGGCCTGCCTGCTGCATATTCTGCGATTGTTCGCGCTCCTTTTTCATCATTTCTTCCTTTAGCACTAGCAGTCCAGCTTTCTCCTTTTCTGATCTAGCAATCAGCATTTGCATCTTAACAGAACAGAAACAAAGACTATTGTATTTCTAAAAGCACAGCTAGAACAAATAAAGGAAAAAAAATCTAGCTTTACTCAAAAGGGTTGAAAAACGTTGCTCTTTGCGCAATTCAACCCTCCCCATTACTATGAAATGATGGAATGAGACTATTTCATTAGGGAGAAAAAGGTGTACTGCTATTGGCCAAAATTGAAAGTGGCAATGGGGAGGGTGCGTTGTTTTGTAGGTTGAGACATTGATTGTTTTCTTCCATCTTTCTCAAGGGAACTAGAAAATCTAAAGAAGACGAATACCTCCTTTTCCATTGCTCGATTTTCCTGTTGTAAACTAGCGTTGACTTCCTGAAAAACATAGCACAAAGTAGGCACTTTTGGAAGTTTTATCATTAGAGTCATGAATACACTACGAAAAGGCAAACCAGGATACCTCCGGAATAAACATTAAAGCGTTATTGTTACCCTTTCAGATTTAAGTGTTATGGAAACGTACAGCTTTTGTATGTGGCTAACTTAACTCCAACCCCCAGTTCACCAATACCGAGATTGACGAACTAACCGTTATGTCAGTCTCTTGTGTCGTTCAGTCTATAATCTTTCAATAGCAACATTTCCATTCTTCTCCTTCAACTATGTCATAATTCCGACGTGTGTGTACAACGTACCTCAAGCCGTCTCCTTTCTCGCTCTATGAAAGCTGCTGCTACTATTTCCCTTGCGGCTGTTTGGTCAAAATCTTTCAGTTGTTTCAGTTTATCACGGTAGTGTTTTGTATCCGCAGCTAGTTTCTGTAAGAGGGTATGGAAATATCGTGAGAACTCCCACGGAATTTTAATTATAGACTAAATATGTTCAGGACATCATTTGTCAAGCTTTTGCATTTGAAAATAACGATGGTGAAGCAGTGCTGCGTGACTGGTGACCAATGGAAATTTCTCTGTTTAACATATAAACTCAGGGATCAATCTTAAATATCTGGAGAAAGATCAGAATAAGATAAGGACTTCTTACGGAATGAAAGTCGGAGAACGCCTCAGCAATGGCATCTTTAGCACCCTTTGCTTCTGCCTCGTAGTCATCTTTGATATGTCGGTAAACGTTCAGGATGTCATCGAATGATAATTTCGAACCTTCTCTTCCTTGAAGCTGCTCAATGACTGGATCTAGGTGTTTTGTTTTTAGTTGTAACAGAAGATTATCACAGAATTGTCTTGTTAACCTTGAATTCTTAGTCCTCCGTTCGTTCAACCGTTTCTCGAAAAAACCCTAAAATTGAAATTTTTAGAAAGAAGAAAATGAACTCAATCGAAGATAATTTCATCAAGCATCCTAAAAGATATTAAATTGCGTAGAAACGTTGAGGATACCTCTTTCTTTCAAACAAAATTAATATCTTCCTTCTTAATGAGTGAATAAATTCACCAATTATCGGTTTACCAGGAGAACAATAGAGCCTAGAATAGTCAATTAACACTGACTACCAAAAAAGTCACTGCAAAAATGTCTTGCAGCTAACATCATGCGACTAGTCCCTTTGAGTAAACTACTAATTACTGATGTTGTATCAGCTTGCTCCCTTCAGCTATGATTTTATTACTGTTTGAAACAGTTTCTCAAGGCAGAGACTTGCAGTATGGACCATCTTGTGAAGAAGGCAAAATAAATGGCCTTCGAAAATCAGTGTCTTAGCTACTGCTTAAGGGTGTCACCTTCAGTTCCCTCAGTTGCTTCTCCACTGTGGTTGTTGAAATGCCAGACATTTCCGCCTTGAACAGATCTTTAGTTTCCTCCATTGCGAATTCGTGACGGAAGTGTATCTCAGCATTATCACATGGTAGTTTTAAGTCCATAAGCTCGTTATATTTCTGTTGACATTTCTTTATGGTACCTGAGCACTTGTCTTTTACAAACTGATCCCACGCGACCTGAACGTTTGGAACCACATCAGGAGTGTTGATGGCACGGTAAACGTAGTGGGTGACCAGGGCGGCAAGACCTATGAAACGACAAACATTCAGTACTCAGTACTTAGTTCTCAGTATTCAGTACTGTGATGCTCCTTCAAGTTTGCACAGTCTGAAAAGATTTATAGTCTTAAAGTCGTGAAAGGATGTAAAGGTAAGATAGCATTGGGTAGCATTGGCACCAAAAGAATTCGGATGAAGGCGAAAGCAAAAGAAAACAGAAAAAAAGCAAATTAGGAACAGAAATCGAAAGGATAGAATATATTATCAAAGGCTGCATTCGAGTACAAACAGACACACCACAGACTTACACCTGTTAATGTTGCATAAAAGTTCCAACAAGAAAGCGGTATATTTTGCACCTGAAGGTAGTAATTTGTGAGATTTCTTTCACCTGTCAATTGTATTTTTTTGAGTAATTTTAAAAGAACGTTGAAGAAAAAGGTCCAGAAAATCGTACTTTCCACTGTATCGTTTGAGCTTACATACCACAAAGGGAGGCCGATTTTCAGATTTCGTTCGAGTTTGAGTTTCCTGTGTTTATGCGAGCAAGAGAATTGAGAAGATAAAAAACTAAAACAGGAACAAGAGTACGTACCTTCTCCAGTTATAAGCTCTCCTTTGTTGCAGCTGTGTTTTGGGACTAGCATGGACTTTATCATCTTCTTAAACTGCTCTAATTCACTCAAAAATTGAGGCTGTAAATGATCCTTCTTTGTGTTAAGATTGATTAACACATTTGGATCAGTTGAAGGAGGGGATAGGGCAAACGCATTAAAACCAGGAAAGAACCTCAAGATGCCCTCGGCTACATCTGGTACATCATTCCTACTTCGGGGAGCATTCTGACGGAAGACCTGTATAAAGAATCATTTATTTGGCTTTAGTATCCCCCTCCATTTGCGACCTTTTGAGACGGCGTCTCGACCTTGTTTTGGATTCTAACCTTTTTCAAGAAGTAATCCTTGACGTCTTTGCAGTCGCGTGGAATGGAGAGCGCTACATCTCTCAGCAACAAAATAAAGAAAGGAAAAGTTCTGTGTAAGAACTCCTCTTCTTTTTTCTTAGCAGTCTCTTTCCAGTTAGATCTTGCATGGATTCGTTTAGACAGCTTTGAGATAAAGCTAAAGTGACATTAAAGAAAATCCAGAAGTATTGATTGGGACCAAAGTAATCAAAGTCATATTTTATTTGTCGTAATCCGTAAAGAGCCTAAATCAAATTTTGAACATTTTCACCTTTCAATCTCTTCATCGATACGTTTCTTCTTGCGGAGAGCATTCCTTTATTATTATTCCTCTATTATTCATGTAATGAATCGAAATTGATGACATCATTTGATATGAAGAGTGAAAAAACGGTCTTCGCAAATAAGCTGCAATTAAAGCAATTGCTGAAAAGAAACCTGAAAAAAATTCAGCATCCGAACTCGTGCTTCCATGAATCGTGCACTACTAACAATTCTTTCGCTAACAGGATTACCATGCACTTATTAACAACCCTTGATCCTTACGTTATGGACAAGAGAAAAAAGAACCATGAAGAGCACATACTACTGGCAACCGTTGAGGCCATGTTACAACATATGATTGATATAGTAAGGATACTGCAGGCTATCGAGATCACGCCTTGTGGGAACACCACGTGAGTTATAAATAAGCACGGAAGCCAGCAGAACGGTTAAAGTAAATATCTGATTGTCATCACGACCCTCACTGAAAGCAGCGTCAACACCCTCTGAATCCAACAGCACCACTGTGACGTCCTGGCCACTTAAGTCCTAAATCAGGTAAGAGACCAGTCACTATTCATTATTCATTTATTTCGCCTGGGGGATGGGTGCAGAATATTTGGGTATCACAGGGTTTTTAGTGGGAACGGATTGAGGATTAGTAGTCGCCAAATGAGTATAAAGGGGGCATATAGAATATTTACTGGCATTGAGGATGGGGAAGGTCATGAGAATATCACATAGCCTTATGGGGGGATTGGGTAAATTTTACCGTGACCCAAACAAAAAATGCTATCATTTATTTTACCCTTAGGCAACTTCAAGAAAATACTACTGTCTGCGCTAATCTATAGGGCTCAGTTTTTGTTATCAGAAACACGCTAGTGGAACTGTCGAGTGTAACATTGAGTGATAAAACACAGGGGGGAGGGGAGGGACCAATATATCAGATTTAAAGTATTTTAGATATCACTTTCACTCCACGTTTCTCTTGAGAACAGCTGTATATCAATTCTAAAAAGAGAGAAAGGGAGCGATGCCATATATCACCATAATCTGTAGCACTCTTCATGACAGGACGGAAAATGCGTGCACTGTAAGTACCTCCCGTTGTCCCATACAAAGCCTTAGAAAACTTTTCTAAGGCTTTGTATGGGACAACGGGAGGTACTTATAGTGCACGCGTTTTCCGTCCTGTCATGATGTTTCAGAGCTTTCTAACTTTTCAATGGGTTTATCGTGCACACAGTCACGAGAATAAGATAAAAACTTTGTTAACATGCGCCATATGCTAATTGCCATCATTGCAGATCAAAAAACCTCTTACAACGTCTGATACTTCCATCTTATTAATATCAAGGGTGCTTACAAGCAAAAATATGACTAGCATTCAAGCAAAAAAGACTCGTGAGTCACGTCATTTGATATGCAATACAGGATATTCGATCTCTTATCACTTTATATAGTTTGAAAAATTACTGTGGCTTATAGGAAATAAATTTCTTAAGTCTAAGTTTTGCACCTTATATTTCTCTGGCACGATCCACATCCAGATTCCCATGGTCTCCGGATCAAATTCGTGTCCTAGAGGGAATACTCCTGGTTGATCAAAAGCCTCACTCAAAATGTAAGACTTTCCTTTCCGTAAAGGACCAGCGACAGCAACGGTGCACACTGGGCCTGTTATACAGAGCAAGGTGAAAAGTCTAATTTGATTGTCATTTCTATACCACATTAGCCTTCATATTCAGATTGAAGTGAAATAAACAATAAACAGACACGCACAAGGTAGCTCTTGTTTCAAATTCTTTTTCTGGGCTTTCTATCATACCAGTGAAATTGTTCCCGTAGAGCCTTAAATAGAGCGCGGCCTGATTCGCTTCAAGTCTTCATGCAAGTCAATGGTAAACCTCACAACAGTTTTTGGGTATTTTCTCCTTGTTCTTTCGTTTCGTTTCGCTATCTCGTTTGTTTTTTCTCCTTTTCATGTAGTCACGTGGTTTTGTGATTGATTTTTTTAAGGATTAAGCGACTTACTAAGCTTAAAGTATTACTGTACTTAATAAAATAGACCTCTTTCATTTGAGTAAGCCCCTTGAGTCTCAATTTAAACTGGTACTAAATTCATTCCATTCATATTGACGAGGTCTGGCCTGGCTTACATGCACATGGAAGGATAGCACTAGTTAGGCTACACAGTTATGAAAATTTTCCACATGACACTGGCCATCGTTTATTTCATTATTACGCATGACAGCAGTGTATCTGAAGTGGAAAATTTATTACACAGAATTTTTTATTTCCAGTTTCTCAGGACAAAACATAGGCCTATACCTTTGACTTTCCTCAGCTCCTCAAGTGCCTCTTCAACTACATACAATGAAGAACGAACTTCATTGGTGTTAACACATTGACGAGTCCTAGAATCCCACCGATAATTGTTAGGAAGACAGAGAGGGATTGCTCTTGCAGTTTTATCACCAGTCCTCTGAGAAACAGCCCCTAGGGAATGAGTAAAGTTAGTTTGTCTCGCCGTTGGAATGTGTTGCTAACCTACTGTACAATCAATTGCCATGACGTGACTAAATGCATTTTCATAAAAATTACAGCTGGGACATAAAGTTAACTTTTAAAAGTTAGGGAAAAATTCATACCCACATCTCAGAATGATGAAAGGAAAATTGACTTTTAACTGTCACTATGACATAGGGCAATATTACAACGATTCAATTCCAGTCCGCACACTTAGACTTTTAGTGTGAAGAAAAAATTTAACTGGTTTGCACAGGTTACCCAAAGATTTCCACCACAATAAAAGCTTCCATCTAGTTTAGAATATGATAGTAACTGTCAACCTAACCCGTTTTGGTAAACATAGTTCTCAAAAAAAACAAACTGATAAAATTACTTTGAGTACTTGTGGGATCCCTTTGCAATTGCTGGGTCTTCCTTCCACGTGACTGTGACAATGACGAGCTATGTCGGGGCGATAAAGGTGCCCTACCTGTTCTCAGTTCACCGCTCTCTTTCTGGAATTCCTGTCAGTAGGTACAAAGCGTAAACAATTCAATATGAAGAAATTATTTCTCAGGTATTTCTGTCCATGACATTTTATCAAACGTCGAAAAAGGATATACAAATAAACGGCTGACGTTGAAAATAGCTGGATCATACCAAAAAAGAAACTGATGATAATCAATTGAACGAGACACACATATCATAACACCAAGACTGCTTCTTTTGACGCTAAGAATGCCGGAAGACTGAGGATGGTTTGATATTCATTCTTTCAGCACACGTAAGAACTAACAACTATCGGTTTTTCAGCTTTCATTACCAGTCAACCACACTGAGGGATCACGAAGACACAACCGCTTCATAAAATTCCCATATCGCTTTGCCTTACTCGAGATTCGAAACTGCTTTTTGAAATTCCAGATATTTTTTGTTTCTGCCACAAGCAAAAATTTCTTCAAATGAAACAAATTATAGCCATTTCAAGCCTACCGCCTTTTTTTGACCAAGGCCACTGTGAGGATCAACTCCCGATACCAAACTCTCTCCTCTGCTATACACTAAAGACAGAAAACTAGAAACATTAAATTATTCAAGAATACATTGAACACAAAATTGAGTTAGTCGAAATACAGGGGGAACTTGATGGTCTGAACCCACACTCAAATTAGTTTAAAGTGTCGAACTTTGGGCTACCATATGGAATTTTTAACACGCGGTCAGCGTCATACTTATTTCAAACGACTTTTAAATAGCGGAGATCAAATTACATGGTATCTACAGTATGAAATTCCTTTTCTCTTGAGAAATTCGCTAGTACTAGTGTAGCAGCGAGTGGCTCGGGAAACAATGAGCACAACAACGAAACTCAAATAAAGTTAACGACTTCTATAGAAGTCACCAGATTCAATTTGTTATCGGACAGTTCGATAGGCGAATCACATTCAAAGTTGTAGTTTAACTCAACCAATCACATTCAAATTTGTATTTTAAATCAACCAGTCACATTCAAAGATGTAGTTTAAATCAACCAAATAAAATTGGCTACTCCTCTTTTCTCGGAAATTGCAATTTTTATAATTAATTGGTCATAAGACTTTGTATCGTCCGGTCTGTAATCATTTGGAAACAAAAACATATCCTCCACTGCACTTTTGTTCAAACTGTTTTACGATTCTTATGACATAGATCTATCATTGCAACAACTTTGAACATGTTTCCAATCACAAGCAGTTGAGTAAATTCGTATTTTTTTTATTGTGAAATGAAACCGAAAGATAAAAACCAAAACAGAGGATTCAGTTTCAACCCTCTTTCACTCAGCCCTGGAAAGCAGATAAATTGTATCGCCTCTGAGCTTACAGCCTTGTCTGTGATAAGTAGAGGATGATGGCGAGGGGGCTTCTCTCGATGATAGTCTGCCATCTGATGTCTCTTCACCGATGTGAATCGGGAACTCCTGTCAACACAAACACAGCCACACGAGTATTATCCCTCTAAACCTCAACAGCCTTTGGTAACTCAAGACTCAAAGATCGATTAAAAATAAATAAATTTAAGGCGGTGATATACCTAGGGGAGCCTTAATCCATCTGCACTCCGGCCCCCTCAGTATGAGAAATGGTGTTTCTCCTTATGCAGTTTTAAATAAGACCGTGGATAAGGATAGCCCTAATGATCAATTCGGCCAATACCCCTAAACATCAAGTTTTGCAACAGCAAAACCTCAGTTAGGCTGGTCAGTAAAAATTTGACATTCGTTTAGGTAAATAACTCCGGCACATCTTTCCTATAACAGTTAACTTTGCGCCATTTCACAAAATGCAGGGAACAACCCCAAAGATGGTAGAGTGAACTTTGGCCTATAAAATAATGTGGAAGTAATACTGCATGTTCAACAGTTGTACTTACCGCTTTTCTTGACGATTTTTTATCTTCCATAAGCGAAAGTTCCATTGCCTTGGCTAAAGCTTCTTCTTCACTTTCAGTCTGGTATTCACTCCATGACTGCAAATCAAAATAGCGATAAAAGGTAAAGAAAGCCGGCAAACAGACTAAACTAGAGAGCTGAAAGAGAACTGTCTCCTGATTGATCAAAAATGCAATACTGCTGCAGGAAGGTTTCTGCTCATCCTTTCGTATTCGCCACTGTACGAACATTTTTTTCATGGTTCAAGCTGTTCAAAATTATCACATATGCAACTGATAAACAACAAATACGAACAATGGAAACACTATTTCCAAGGTACATCGCTCCTAATGTTAGCACTTCGCTAACTAGTTTCCTTTCGTTAGACTTGCGCGAAAGAAGGTGCCTTCAGTGTGACTGAGTGAGGGATACATACACCATTACAGATACAGTCTCTTGAAAAATTAGCACGTGTCATTTGTGGAAAAAGTGTTATCTCAACTGCAGTTATCAAGGTTACTTTTTTTCTCTGTGTACATTAATTGCAACAACTGAACGCTTACCGCCATGGTTATCGTCCTCTTTCACTGAATGTATATGCCGATTCCCAATGACGAGCTTTCTTTTCACGAGCTATATCCACTGCTTTAATCACTAAACACAAAAAGGGAGAAACGTGTCCAGTTCCCCCAAGTAAAATTGAATCGATGGAGGCGCAAAGCAAATTATGAATCTTAAAGTAATCCATTTTTTTTTTCAAAATTTCACAGAAATTGATTATTGAGTAGTGGGGAAGGAAAGCTTGAGGAAATGACAGAGATATACAATACCCGACTGAAAAAAAAAAAAGGCCCACAAAATCTGAATGCAAAAGCTAGATATAAATATTAGTCAATCGAGTAGCAACATTTCCTAGCTTTCCACAGTGGCAATCGTTATCAATTCAAAGGAAAATACAATTTCTCAGAAATGGTTACCTCCTGTGATCATAGTTAACGCTTTGTGTAAAGCAGATGTACGCTTATCAGCCACGCAATGGATGATATTGTACATATAAATTTTCCTTTCATAAAATTTTGTATTTTCTTTCGTTTTTGACGATATGCTCCTTGTACCTTTTTTCTTTACCTTTATTTTTTACCTTTTTTTTCTTTTTTTTACCTTCTTTTACCTTTTTTTTAGATGCAGACTATGCTGACGACTCAGCAGTGCTGGCGTACGTCCTAAAAGATGCTACATTCCTGCTGCACAGCATTGAAAGAACAGCAAAGGAGATAGGGCTCTACCTCGATGCAGATAAAACAGAGTTCATCTGCTTCAATCAAGATGCGTCAGAAGGGATGAAGAGTCTCAATGGTGAGAAGATAAAGCAAGTGGAAGATTTTAAATACCTGGGAAGCTACATCGCCTCTGCCGAACATGATGTTAACATCAGACTAGGAAAGGCGTGGGATGCTCTAAATGAACTTGACAAGATATGGAAATTAAACCTCCCAGACAACCTGAAGAGAAACTTCTTTCGAGCAGCAGTGGAAACCGTCCTTTTATATGGTTCAGTCTCCTGGACCTTAACAACACATCTGGAAAAGAAAATCGATTGAGCATACACTAGAATGCTACGCGCTGCCTTAAACAGATCATGGAAGGACCACCCCACAAATGTAGAGCTCTACGGTCACATCCCGCCAATCAGTAAGTCGCTACAGCAACAAAGGACGAGATTCGCAGGACATTGTTGGCGCAGTAAAGAAGAACTAGCAGGGGATGTATTACTCTGGAAGCCAACACATGGACATCAGCCGAGAGGACGCCCGAAAAAGACCTGCATTGACCAACTGATGGATGACACAGGATGCAGAATTAAAGATCTACCAATTGCAATGGAAGACAGAGAAAGGTGGAGGAAGCGTGTCATGGAATACCGAACAAGCTCGACCTAATGATGATGATGATAGTTACATTAGCTGTAGGATAATTTGTCTTTTCTGACCATTTGTTGCTGCCTTACTCTGTTTACGACATCAAATATTCATTTTTACTTCAATTAACTTGGGAACATATTTTTCCTGATGGCCTATTTTCTAGGAAAACATTGCTACACTTCAAGAACCTTTTTTGAAACGAAAACAGTCGAAAAATATGTGACCGACTCGAAGACTGCTTCATGAACGCAGAAAGATCACGCCACTAGCTTAACAGATTAACTTTGAGCACAACAACGAAACTCAAATAAATTTGACGGCTTCTTTGGAAGCCACCAGATACAATAAAAGCTTGTGGTTAACTAGATGTAAACGTTAAAGATGATTTACCAGCGACAGCCAAAGATATCTGCGCAAAAAGTCAGTTCGGTCTCGTCTGAAGGTGAAACGAGCGAGAACAAAGAAGTCGACATGCAGACAGTGATCCTGAAAATGTCGAAGAGGAGATTACTGGGTACAATTTTAGAGTGGATGGAGACGAGGAAGTGGAGAGTGTTTTAAACATTCAAGAATTTGACACAGGTTCTACTTGTATTTTCCCATGGCGACGGCAGGTTGAAACTTCATTTTGACACTACTGGTCGTCAGTAATTGTACCAAAGATCGTACCAAAAATAACGAGAACAATAACCAGCTTTCAGCAATTCCATGCTCTGGGGCTTGCATCATCTTCCTTACAAGTCTTCCATAACTCACGCTACTTCAACTTGAATATTACATTATTATAATCACTTCTTTTCGAACATTTGCGGTAAGTTCGCGAACTAATCATAAAAATTACAATTTCTTCGATTGTGATTGGTTTAAAAAACTCCTATTTTCCACTAATTCACTTGTAGAGTTGTTATAGAACAGTTCAGTAAGCCAATCACATTCAAAGTTGTTATTTAAATCAACTAAATAAAACTTTAAAAAGACTTGGCTTCTTTTCTTCTCTCGAAAATTGTAATTTTTATTGTTAATTGATAATAAGACTTTGCGTCGCTCGATTCGGTCTGTAGTCATACTCGTGACAAACAGATCAGACTCCCGCCACTCCGATTTTGTTATTACCCGTATGATTGCAGACCGAATTGGACGATAGGAAGTCTTTTTACCATTACTTATGGTAGAATTACAATCTATATATATTTTACGCCCACAATATGTTTTTGTTCCGCAATGTTTGCAATAAATTAAACATGTAATTACGCCGATGTCCTCTTTCTGAGAAAACAGTATTTATCACCTTTAATTTAGGTGCATTCTTCTCGCTTTGTATTTTAATTACCCTCAAAGGCCAAACCCTTGACACAAATTTTAAGATCAGAAGTCGTCCACCACAGAAT